AAGCACAGACCCACAAAATCACTCTTACTTAATTCATCCAAAAACTGAAATTTTCATATTTGTCTGTTAGCAAAATGAATCTTTCACTGCAAAATTTCAATTGGAACGTTCACACTTCAAAGCAACTGCATCAGATACAGTGCCCAATTACAATTTAAGAAAAAAACTAGTTTAGTGTTCACACCATTATTATGCAACACTGTTCAATATGATTCATCTATTATTATACTATTCCGTAGAATTAAATCAGCACATTAAATTTGTGCAAAATGCATAATTTATGTAGTATACTATCGAAAACGTTCAATATATAAATACGATAAAGGTGATTAACGATAATATAATCATTGCCACTGACATAATATTATCAATATATGATTCAATGATATATGATGAAAAACTAATGAATTCACATGATTCAATATAAAATCAATATGATATGACTCAACTGATCCATGATGATAAATTAATCAATTCATATACTAGTCATAGTAATCAGGTAATGCAATATCAAGTCATCATAATACAATATCAGGTCATCGTATTGAGAATTTAAACAAGAACAACTATGAGGAATATTACAAATTCAATTAACATATAAAATTAACTCACTTGGTCGGTACATTTACTGAGTAGTTGTGAGATAATTTTCATGTAGAAGCTAGCGATCAAATTATTTATATTATCATCTTCTAGGAAATTCAGTAGTAGACTTTTTGATTCATTACTTGTTAACATCGCCACACTCAACTGTTCGTTATTTAACGATAATATTTCAGCACACTGGTGAGCACGTCTGAAGATAAACTTACCAAATTGCTTACGACAGAAAGGAATTGAAACGAAGTTTCAGTCAAAAATTAAGAATTTTTAAAATACTTTCGCTATTGCAAGGAGAATTTGCATTGAAATCTCATCAAAACTCTCAAACTGAGCGGACTTTCAAAATGATGTGGAAAATTTCTGCACGAATACTTACTTGTACTGTTCTTTTTCGGGCAATGAAGTATCAATTCGAGGTTTCAGAGCACCCAGAACTAATTCACTGATTACGTTCGGAGATGTTAAACTGAAGACTTTAAGCATATGAGAAAAAAATCGAGTAAAAAATTCTTTCCAATTCATAAATTTTTCTTCTGAAGAAAAGAGGCTACATGACAGATTAATTGACAACGTACTGGTGACTTTACCTTCCCAAAAAAGTGCGGCTACATGACTGTGAAAAAACACTCAAAAAAGATGCACATGTGAACAAATCAACTAACTAATTTGCGAGTTTTTCATGTCCGTTTCGAATTTCTTGAATTGTTAGTTCATTAAAAATTATATCGTCCAAATTTACATTCTCGGCATTCAGCAAATCATCCAAAGAGGGCCCGCTTGACGGCGCTAACTCGGTTTGCCAGAACATATTAAACCTGAAAAATATTTTCTCTGAACTGGCACTTACACAAACGTTACAAAATTCATTTCGTTGTTCACGACGAGTCATCAAAAAGTACTAAAAACAGGAGAAGCGGCACGAAAACGATCAGAAGATTATTTTCAAAAAAAAAAAACTTCTCCCTAAACACTGTCGAACTAAACTACTCGGTGGATTGATATAAACGAATAAAAAACTAAAAATATCTTAAGAATATGATATTCGAATGGATTTACTCTCACATACCATAAACGAT